ACTAACATACATGCCAATATAGGAAATGAGGGAGCCCTATCTAAAAGCTACTAACATATGCAATATAGGAAAGCCTAAGTAAGAGGCGAGAAAGAGGTCTTTTACTCACTAAGAGGATCTAGAAGGTGCAGGTCTAGAGGGGGATGGGGCCCGTCACCTTCAAGCCCTCCCCTCCTGGGACCTCCCTCTGGTTTCCTCAGCGCTATCTCCCTCTCAATTTCTGTTATCTGCTTCTTCATAAGGGTTAGTGTAGAAGACGAAGGAGACTGTGTATTAGTGTGAGGGGAATTCCGAGAGTGGACTTTAGAATGGGGAGAGCTGGCAGCATTGGGGAGGGGGGAGTTATGAGAGTTGAGCGTTGGGAGGGGGTTGAGGGGTGGCAGCTCACCCCTGCATAATTGCTCATCTAGAGACCGCACGATCGGCCGCTGATGGTGATGTTGCTCCTGCTCAATGATCGCCTCTTCCTGTTTTTCTTTTTCATATAATACTTCTTTCGTTTCTTCTCTTTCATCCATTCCACTTTCGTCACCTGAAATTATAAACAAAAACATTTGGTCATATTAATTTAAGAAGTACCATTTTTTTCTTGACATTTTAATCAAATCTCTCTCGTTAAATGCCTTCTTTTGCCACATTCTTTTAAAAGGTTGAGTTTCAGTGTTTCCATGAGAAATAAACTAGCAGTTTCTGAATTCCGAAAATATAAAGATGTACACTTACAATCATCAATTTTGTTATGGTACACAAAAATATGATCTTCATAAACCCTTTTATCTAGTGTACATATTGTTTTTTAAGCTGCATTCTTAAGAACCTGCATTCTTTGTGCAAGAAAAAATATAAACATTCATATCAGGATATATCACCCAGTGAAGTAAAAATCTGAGTATTGAACAATATGAAATCCAACCAACTTGTTCATTGAGCAGCCACTGTTTGTGGTAGTCTATATTGATTATGTTATTTCAGCTTTAACTATGAAGGAAAGGGTATTTTTCTCATGCATTCCGATAGTGAATGGCAAGCATTTTTAGAACTCATTATCCAAGTTGAACTTGGATGATACTTAGACCATAATCATATACAAAGCCCATAGCAACTATATGAAGTTATCCCATCTTTAGTGATGAATAATAAATGTTCTCCCATTTTTGTTACTATATAACAAACACATGAATCCTCTTTTAGCCCATTTCAACTCACTGCCTCCAATTCACTTGACTATTAACTTGCAAAATGAAGTACACATACAGAGGACAAAATATCCCTCCAAATGAGATTATTTATATTTTTTTTCTTGAATGAATTATTAATTTAAGAAATATATCTGGTATTAACCCATCAAAGATAAAACACTTACACTACTACATCAGTTGAACAGTCTTGCTATAACTAAGCAGCCATCTGTGAGGTCACATAGTGCTAGTTCAGTAATTTCAACATTCCTACTATCTTTACTTATAAAGGTGTGAAAAAATAAGATCTTTCTGCCAATCTTTGAAAGCTATATCCCCACATACAGATGCATGATAAGAAACAGTGTAAAATGCACACTGTTAAATTCTACCTTACATCTACCATCAGTTTCATGTCAACAATAAACTAAAATAAAAAATAATCAAACCACATTTCTATGACTATGGACTTAAGTGGTACATCTAAAATGCTACTATTCTCTATCCTGGGATACTGAATACAAGGACCCCTATTTCCTTGTGAAATAGGAGAATTACATAATATTACCTAATTGTCTCACAAAGATGATATACAAATAACCACAATAATCTACAATTGTTACCATACGTATTTCAAAAGTATCATTATGAAATTTCAGGAGTTATCTTGGAATACAAACATAATAAGCTTTGATGAATGAGCATTATCGCAGTAAATACTGGTACTGATAATGCTAGGGTGAACTCCCGACCTTTTAAAAAAGGTTCATTTGCCTTTATCTCCTTGTCATGAATGACATATCATCTTTAAAAATACACTATGAAATCAATTATTTCAAATTATTATTAAATGCACTTGTTATGGCAATCATTGAAATCAAATCGGAAAAATGAATTATATCACTTAGTGAGATAACAATCACAACAAATCTGTTCAAATTTCTTCAAGGGCTGAGTTGTAGCAAAAAGAAGCTTAAACTGATGTTATCAGTTTTATTAGTATTCCAGTATCACAAAAAACGTTTTATGCCAGTATTCTCAGTGATATATATGTGGCCTATATAAAGGTTGTAGGTCAATAAAGCATTATATAGTTTCAAGAACAACAAAATAATTGTATATGAATAACAAAGGTTTTATAGATACTATCATACCCTACTGATCAAGTCACCTTAATTGAGTATGGTAAGTAGGACTCAGTCGAATTGCCTTAACAGAACATTATTTGTTAAAAGTTGGTAGGCTATTTTTCTGTTCCTTTATTGGTATGAGTGTGATGCAGTGAGACTAAACAAGTTTATTAGGTACTGTTTGGCATTTTTCTTCAAACCTCAAGTCCCCAAAGACCTATCCCTTCCCTTCCTTTTATCCCAATGGCCCTTGTGTCTGGGTGGCCTCTCCTCCTACCACGTCCCTCCTCTACATACCCTAAAAGCTACTGCATCCCTTGCCTCCCTCCCCTAAAAGCCCTCCCCATTTTTTTTCTCTTCCAAAAATTGACTCCTGGTATTTGTGAGCTATTTCAGATATTGCTTTGGTTCTCAATCAATATATATATATATATATATATATATATATATATATATATATATATATATATATATATATATATATATATATATATATATATATATATATATATATATATATATATATATATATATATATATATATATATATATATATATATATATATATATATACATGTGATTAATTACTTACAAATCATGATGAAAATACATCTTATTGCATTAAATGTGTTAAGTTTTCAGACTTTTTTACATATACATGGGGAGACTTTTTCAAAATTAATACTCTACTGTTCAGTAACTACCTAACTTAGCAACATAAGATGATTTTCTAATCAGAACAAATAAGCCTTTAAAAAAAAAAACAAGACCATATATGTCCTTTATAAAATTATACATTCAGGTTATTTGTAGTTAGGTGTCATTGTAGCTGAGAACTTTGAGGTATAGGAAAAGTGAAAACATGTTTCTGACCTTCATTCACCATATAAAAAGTCTAGAGTATGAGGAAGTTTCCCATATAATAGCACATAAATGCAGAAGTCTTTAACCCAGAATGTCATAAATTTTCAGCACTTATTGTCTACTTTAAATACATAAAACAGTCTAAACTTCACTCCTAATAACAATAAAGTGTTTCTTATAATTTCTTGACCATTTTTGTCATTCGTAAAAAAAAAAAAAGCCTTTTCATGAAATACAGTCTAAACTTACCCTGCAATTAAAGGCAACGTACCCTAAAGAGTTAGTAAGACATTTATTGAGCATTAGCCTAAAGACCATCCAAAAATCTAAATGAATTACTGATATCACTTAACCTAGCAAAAAGATACCTTTTCTTAAAATTACTCAAGATGTAAAATAACTTCTTTCCCCATACCATAACCTATGCCAAGATATGCATATGCTTCCTTTTCATGGTGTCAGAATTGTGCCATCTCTGATACATAAAAGGTATGAATGAAAATGAATATCTTCACAATACAAGATATATCTGACTTTTATCTTAATATATCTTCAGAAAAACATACACATTTCTTACAAAGATATATCTGAAACCAGTGATATACATCTCCCGTATTGTGAAGATATCAATTCTCATTCATACCTTTTCTACATTTGTTGACATGAATATGGTTTCCCTCTGATGCATCTGCACATTACATAAATGAGAAAGATTACAAAAAAGCAATAACTGTAATTATGAGTATATTAGATACTTATTTGAAGCTACTGTAGCAGTGTATGAATAACAGTGAAAAGTTAAAAACCCTCCTCTGATGGGAGTTGAGTTTATCCCAACTGCTGACTGACCAAGAATTGTTGATGTATCTTGTCTGTCCAAAGCAAAAGAGCAAGGTACTCTGGGAATGGTAAAGTGAAGCACTTAATTGTATTTTCCAAAAAGTAGTGTTTTTCCTTAATTTCCAGTAATTAGGCAAACAAACTGTTCAACCAATATAACATAGTAACAACTGAAGAGACTGAATGCAAGTTGAAGAGAGAATCACATCATTTACTTGTTCATGGCAATTTGTCAGAGGGAAGATATCAGCAGGAGACCATATAAATGCCCACATAGAAACACTGAGCTATAGCAGTATATGACATAAAGCAAATATATAGGTATAATAATAATCTAATAAAGTTAGTATTGATAAATACACTGACTGGCAATATTATATACTCCTTAATCAATAAATGACATGTAAAAACAAATTTTTGGTCATTACTGTCCATAAATGATTAATCATAATTAGTAAATGTGCATCTGGGAGTTAAAAGTAAAATATATCCAATATTTACAAATAAAAGAGGTAATTCTGTTATTTAACACATCTTTATAAATAAGTAAATATTTATAAAACAGTTTTAACAAAAGTTAGTATAACAGTAAAACATCATAATATAAAATGCTGTGCAAAAGATTAAAAATCACTGTAAAAATTATAATCAATATCTGGCTATCTTATGAAACTGGGCATTTAGATCTTACATCAACAATAAAATCCACAGATTGAGTTAAACACAACCTGAGTATATTAATAATCTATAAAATATGATTTCTAATTGACTGGTTCCTCAGGAGCATTAACAGTAGGCTACAACTAGTTAGTTAGACACTAAATTCATATTGTACAGTTGTGATGTCTATGTGGCTGTTGATAAGTTGATAAGGTTGCTATTGGTTAACCTGGCTATATCATGCTGAGTCTTCTCTGCCTCTGACTGGCTACTGACAACTTTATAAACTAGAGAACTTGTCACATGTATGTTTTTGATTGGCTTTCTTCAATTCATTGATAGTTCACCTGGCTTACTCTTTGTTCTGTTAAGTAATTATTTGTTTTTGGTGGTATTTAGCTAAAATATTTCTTATAAAGAATATTAAAAATTAAACAGTCAAATCATTAAGAAGCTGTCAGTTGTATGGTGAATGCTGGCTGATGTAATTATAAGTTGATGTTCTTTGGCTGTGCGTGCATACATACGTGCCTGTGTGTGTGGGTGTGGGTGTATGCGTGTGTTAGTGCGTGTATGTGCACTATACATGCTTGTGAATGTACATGTGCTTCTGCATGCTTGTGTGTGCTTGTGTGTACTAGTGTCTTCCATTGTGTGCTAGTGCCAGTGTCTGTCTCTGTGTTCGTGCATGTGCAGGTATGTGAGGAGGCATGCATTCCCAGATAATTTTGGCTACCACCGCCCATGTTACACAATGAACATCTTACAAAACATATGGCATATAAAATAGGCCATGCTTGCATGAATTCTAAGGCAACAGTAATGTGCATTTGTGTGTAAATGCATGCAAACATGTGGTTAGGAATTTTAACAAAATGCCTCATTAATACAGATGACCTTTATCTAGTAGCCAACAGGTTAAATGAATATACAAAGGTTCAATAAATCCTTTCTATACTTATCTCCACTATACATAAAAAAATATCATGCTATAAATTCAATAATCAAAGGTTCCCCTCCTAAATAACAAATTTTTGACATAAAACTAACTACCCTGAGAATTTCATATTAACAATGATAACTGAATCTGCTATTCAAATGGGAACTTTTGATACCACCCAATTCTGACATTCAATAGACTTAACAAAGTGGCTTACTGATTTAGCTTCTTCTCAGATGACTGAACCTTTTCGTTACTTGATCCTAACAACAAAGTTCAGCTCCTTGATCAGACTACATTTGTCCTGCCTGCTTCATACTTCCTAGCAATGCCAACTATATATATATATATATTAATATTGTCAGTAACATTTTATCAACACACCTTCTAACTTTATTGTTAGTAGTCACACAACTGTATCACATAACTGAACATCTAATAAAAGTGTTATAGTCTTTGCCTCTGTTCTCTTCTTCTGTTTTTTTTTTCACTATATACTAAGTGTCTATGAAGTCAGTTAACAAAACTGCTTTACATCAAATATTACTCTGCTGTCTCCTTTGATATTCTCTTCCTCTATTTGCATCACTATATTTCTGCTTACTCTACTCCTCTGGACACATGATGAGGCTGAAAGTCCACCACTTTATTACAGGGGCTTAGCCTTGAATACCTTCTGGACTTATTCCGACTTCACTGCCAAGCCTGAAAATTTCTGCCTCTTCCTTAGTCTGAGTTGTTAGTACTAAAGTGTATACATGCACCTGCTTCAATGGCTCTTATATCCTACACTCCTTTGGTGTCTATTCCACCCCCACAATAAACCACAACAGATAATTATCTCATGTTCTACATATGAATATTTGTTTTTCTTTCTGATAGAAGAAAGATGCAGTTATTCTAGCATTTCATTATTTGGGAACTACTGATATATAAAGGATGTTTAGTTTCAGGATAACTAATATCATTTGGGAGACAACTGGGTCCTCAAAACAAATAAGTGATATAGATAAAAGTAGATTTCTTGCAAAGCATGGGATCTGATATCAAAATGTTCTTTTTCATAGGTTTATTCTGTCAGTAAAGTTTGTTATAACATCTGAGTCAAAGTCTTGAAATCATTCCATATTTTGGTTTTCTGTATCCTAATAAATTCCTACAATTCTTCTGACATTTTGACATCAAAGAGATATCTGAAAATATAATTCTAATAACTTAACACAATTTATTGATATCTTTGATATTGAGGGTTCTCATGAAATATAATTTTCATAAATTCATATAATTCTTTAATTACTATATCATGAACATAGTAAATTATATAACAAATTAAAATACTACTACCCATGAAAAGACATAATGATCCATCATCACACTTGCCCTTTTCTTTCAAAATATAATGAACTCAAAGCTCCTAAGTTAAGAATGTTAAGCGTACAATAATAATTTTTAGCAGTTCAAAAAAATTGCAAATACCTAGTTTTGGCTTATATATGTAAAACTTGCTACTCTACCAAGATATTTTAAGTTAGTTTGACATAATGTATATTCAAAATAACATCCAGAAATTAACTGAATGATTCTGAACTGGAGGTAATTATCATACAATATATACCTAAATTAATATGATGTCACTCACGAAGTTATAGACTGGTGAAGAAAATTATATTTTTCAGTAAAATGACTGGCATTTATATTCTATAATATTCATCTGTGAAAATTCATCTTTTTCCAATCTAACCTCCTTAGCATGGCTTCCGACTGTTACTGTTTAGTGTCACTGGAATGTATAAATCTAATCTTAAATTGCTTTTGCTAATGTATGTTACACTCTGACTGGGGTCCTTTCATTGTATAAAAACAGGTATATCCAGTAAAGATGCAATCA